ATGACAATATGACTATGCACTTGTGATATGGAATGAATTATTTGAGCTGGTCAACGCTAAAAGGTTCCCATCCAAGGCCAGAAAATTCGTGCCTTTTCAAAGATTTCTGCAACTTTTCATTAAGGCCATGATGGATGCGAATGAAAATATTCCGGCCAGACCGAATTCAGAAAAAGGGCCAACATTTGTCATGACCAGAATTCGGCAGCATACAGAAGTAGAAGATTTGGATTCAATTATGCCAGTTCCACCAGAATTGATTGCTCTAGCTGATCAGAATGCTCAGTGTGTCATAGACTATAGAAGAGTGATAGATCCTATAGTTCAACCAGAACCGGTTGAATTTACCCAAGGATCACCCCATGCCTCAGCTGAGAGAGAAATAGAAGTAGAAGAGAGAGTTCAGGAACAAGGGGTACCTGAACAGGGAAGTGTGCTGAGAGAAAATGTAAGTGAGATGGGTGAACAGGTGGGGGGAGCTTCTGATCAGCAACGCACTTTAACTGCCAGAGCTTCATCYAGTTCGGAAGCTACTGAATCAGATAATCGAGCAGATTTTGGTGATGATCAAAATGATGATGATGATGGAACAAACGCTCAGAATATTCCCGTTGGAACATTTGTGGACGATCTTGCKACGATCTTTCCGGAATATTCAGCTCAACAACCTTGTCCAAGTCTACGTTCTTTATCGTTTAATGTTGATGAATGCGATGATTATGATCGTATTCTTCAAGATTTATCAAATGAAGGAGAAGATGAGGGAGTTGAAGTTGAAAATGAAATGCGATTGAGAGAAAGGGAAGAAAAAGAAAATGGAGAGGGTGTGAGTGGAGCAGAAAAAGAAGATCAAGCTCCTTTCCAAACCGAAACACTTAGCCGGGCAACCACATCTATTACTGACATTCATGTGTTGAATGTTAGTATTGAAGCAGACATAGCTAGCCCAGCTATGCATTTGCACACCTCTCATATCCACTCAATTGGTTATCAACAACCAATTGTTTCAATTTTACATGGGGATTTAGCTCATACGCTAACTACTTCTCAATCGGAGAATGTAGTTATTGAAACAAGTAGGCTGTTGCCCCAGCCTATGACTTCGATTCTGTGCACCTCGAGTCTAGAGCCGATACACTTAGGTACACATGAGTCAGGAGCATCTGTTGCTCCAAGTGCAGTTCTTAGTGAACTAGCTAGAACGACCGGAGTGATGTCATTTGACATTTCACAAGGACAGGTCGGAAGTCCTACTAATGCTAACATTACGCCAACATAGAACGTAGGCACAGCAGTTTACTCAACTGTTGTTTCAACTGGTA